GTCTGTTCGCGTGTTCGTCTGTTTGTGTGTTTGTCTGTTTGTGTGTTTGTCTGTTTGTTTGTTCGCATGTTTGTCTGTTCGTGTGTTTGTGTGTTCGCCTGTTCGCGTGTTCGCTTTTTTGTGTGTTTGTTTGTTCGCATGTTCGTCGGTTCATGTGTTCACCTGTTCATGTGTTCATCTGTTCATGTGTTGGGGTGTTTGTGTGTTCATCTGTTCATGTGTTCGCGCGTTTGTCTGTTCGCGTGTTTGTCTGTTCATGTGTTCATCGGTTCATGTGTTCATCTGTTCATGTGTTCATCTGTTCATCTAATCACGTTTTAACCTTTTCACGTGTTCACCTGTTCACGTGTTCGTCTGGTCATGTGTTCATGTGTTTATGTGTTCGTCTGTTCGTGTGTTCGTCTGTTCGTGTGTTCATGTGTTCGTCTGTTCATCTGTTCATGTGTTCCGCTGTTCATGTGTTGGTGTGTTTGTGTGTTCATCTGTTCATGTGTTCGTCTTTTCGTGTGTTCGTGTGTTTGTCTGTTCGTCTGTTCGTGTGTTCGTCTGTTCGTGTGTTCGTCTGTTTGTGTGTTCATCTGTTCGTGTGTTCATCTGTTTGTGTGTTCATGTGTTCATCTATTCATGTGTTCATCTGTTCATGTGTTCATCTGTTCACGTTTTCACCTTTTCACGTGTTCACTTGTTCACCTGTTCACATGTTCGTCTGTTCATGTGTTTATGTGTTCGTCTGTTCGTGTGTTTGTCTGTTCGTGTGTTCATGTGTTTGTCTGTTCATGTGTTCATCTGTTCATGTGTTGGTGTGTTTGTGTGTTCATATGTTCATGTGTTCGTCTGTTTGCCTGTTCGTGTGTTCGTCTGTTCGTCTGTTTGTCTGTTTGTCTGTTCGCGTGTTCGTGTGTTCGTCTGTTCGTGTGTTCGTCTGTTCGTCTGTTCGTGTGTTCGTCTGTTTGTCTGTTCGTTTGTTCGCATGTTCGTCTGTTCATGTGTTCACCTGTTCATGTGTTCATCTGTTCATGTGTTGGGGTGTTTGTGTGTTAATCTGTTCATGTGTTCATCTGTTCATGTGTTGGGGTGTTTGTCTGTTTGTGTGTTCGTGTGTTCGTCTGTTTGTCTGTTTGTCTGTTTGTCTGTTCGCGTGTTCGTCTGTTCGTGTGTTCGTCTGTTCGTGTGTTCTCATGTGTTCGTCTGTTCGTGTGTTTGTCTGTTCGTGTGTTCGTCTGTTCGTGTGTTTGTCTGTTCGTGTGTTTGTCTGTTCGTGTGTTCGTCTGTTTGTGTGTTCGTGTGTTCGTCTGTTCGTGTGTGCGTGTGTTCGTGTGTTTGTGTGTTCGTCTGTTCGTGTGTTCGTCTGTTCGTGTGTTCTCATGTGTTCGTCTGTTCGTGTGTGCGTGTGTTCGTGTGTTCGTGTGTTTGTGTGTTCGTCTGTTCGTGTGTTCGTCCGTTCGTCTGTTTGTGTGTTAGTCTGTTCGTCTGTTCGTGTGTTCGTCTGTTCGTGTGTCCGTCTGTTCGTGTGTTCGTGTGTTCGTCTGTTCATGTGTGTTCGTGTGTTTGTCTGTTCATGTGTTCATCTGTTCGTGTGTTTGTCTGTTCGTGTGTTCTCATGTGTTCGTCTGTTCTTGTGTTCGTGTGTTTGTCTGTTCGTGTGTTCGTCTGTTCGTGTGTTTGTCTGTTCGTGTGTTCGTCTGTTCGTGTGTTCGTGTGTTTGTGTGTTTGTCTGTTCATGTGTTCATCTGTTCGTGTGTTCGTCTGTTTGTGTGTTCATCTGTTCGTGTGTTCGTCTGTTCGTGTGTTCGTCTGTTCATGTGTGCATGTGTTCGTCTGTTCTTGTGTTTGTCTGTTCGTGTGTTTGTGTGTTCGTCTGTTCATGTGTTCATGTATTCATAGGTTTGTCTGTTCATGTGTTCGTCTGTTCGTGTGTTCGTGTGTTTGTGTGTTCATCTGTTCATGTGTTCATGTGTTTGTCTGTTCATGTGTTCGTCTGTTCGTGTGTTCGTGTGTTTGCCTGTTTGCCTGTTCGTGTGTTCGTCTGTTTGTCTGTTCGTTTGTTCGCATGTTTGTCTGTTCATGTGTTGGGGTGTTTGTGTGTTCATCTGTTCATGTGTTGGGGTGTTTGTGTGTTCATATGTTCATATGTTCATGTGTTCGTCTGTTTGTGTGTTCGTCTGTTCGCCTGTTCGTGTGTTCGTCTGTTTGTCTGTTTGTCTGTTCGCGTGTTCGTGTGTTTGTCTGTTTGTGTGTTCGTCTGTTCGTGTGTTTGTCTGTTCGTCTGTTTGTGTGTTTGTCTGTTCGTCTGTTTGTGTGTGCGTGTGTTCGTGTGTTTGTCTGTTCGTGTGTTCGTCTGTTCGTCTGTTCGTGTGTGCGTGTGTTTGTGTGTTTGTCTGTTCGTGTGTTCGTCTGTTCGTGTGTTCTCATGTGTTCGTCTGTTCGTGTGTTTGTCTGTTCGTGTGTTCGTCTGTTCGTGTGTTCGTCTGTTCGTGTGTTCGTCTGTTCGTGTGTTCGTGTGTGTTCGTGTGTTCGTCTGTTCGTGTGTGCGTGTGTTCGTGTGTTTGTGTGTTCGTCTGTTCGTGTGTTCTCATGTGTTCGTCTGTTTGTCTGTTCGTGTGTGCGTGTGTTCGTGTGTTCGTCTGTTCGTCTGTTCGTCTGTTCGTGTGTTAGTCTGTTCGTCTGTTCGTGTGTTCGTCTGTTTGTGTGTCCGTCTGTTCGTGTGTTCGTCTGTTCATGTGTGTTCGTGTGTTTGTCTGTTCATGTGTTCATCTGTTCGTGTGTTCGTCTGTTCGTGTGTTCTCATGTGTTCGTCTGTTCTTGTGTTTGTGTGTTTGTCTGTTCGTGTGTTCGTCTGTTCGTGTGTTTGTCTGTTTGTGTGTTCGTCTGTTCGTGTGTTTGTGTGTTCGTCTGTTCATGTGTGTTCGTGTGTTTGTGTGTTTGTCTGTTCATGTGTTCATCTGTTCGTGTGTTCGTGTGTTCATCTGTTTGTGTGTTCGTCTGTTCGTGTGTTTGTGTGTTCGTCTGTTCATGTGTTCATGTATTCATAGGTTCGTCTGTTCATGTGTTCGTCTGTTCGTGTGTTTGTGTGTTCATCTGTTCATGTGTTCATGTGTTTGTCTGTTCATGTGTTCGTCTGTTCGTGTGTTCATGTGTTCATGTGTTCATCTGTTCATCTGTTCATGTGTTCGTCTGTTCGTGTGTTTGTGTGTTCGTCTGTTCATGTGTGCATGTGTTCGTCTGTTCTTGTGTTCGTGTGTTTGTGTGTTCGTCTGTTCATGTGTTCATGTATTCATAGGTTCGTCTGTTCATGTGTTCGTGTGTTTGTGTGTTCATCTGTTCATGTGTTCATGTGTTCATCTGTTCATGTGTTCGTCTGTTCGTGTGTTTGTGTGTTCGTGTGTTTGTGTGTTCGTCTGTTCATGTGTTCATGTGTTTGTCTGTTCATGTGTTCGTCTGTTCGTGTGTTCATGTGTTCATGTGTTCATCTGTTCATGTGTTCATCTGACGTTACTAATTCCATCCCTGTAACTGTCCTCAGAACAATATGAAACAGAACCTAAACTTTCATAAAAATGGATTTTGAAGTTGATAAAGAATATAAATAAAGGAGATTGAAGGAGAAATAACAGAACAGGAGTTACTAGAGGCAATTAATTCGTTTTCATCTGGTAAATCTCCTGGTATCGACGGTATTCCTACTGAGATGTATAAGATTTTTTTTACAGAAATTAAAAAACCCCTATTAGCATCTTTCAATTTTTCATTTCAACAGGGTATTTTATCCAATTCACAAAGAGAGGGAGTTATCTCAATACTCTTAAAACAAAATCCTGATGGGAAATATAAAGATCCCAAATTGTTAAAAAAATGGCGTCCATTGACCCTGCTCTGTTGTGATACTCGTATTTTATCTAAATGTATTGCTTTAAGAATAAAAAACATAATTGGAAGTATTATAAATAACGATCAAGCAGGTTTTATTAAGGGAAGATTTATTGGAGACAACTTGAGACAAATACTTGACACGATATGTTTTTATCAGAATCAGAATCAGAATCAGAATCATTTTTATTGCCAACGTAAGTAACGGGAGGTCACAGACTTGGAAATTGCTTTGGCTCAGTGCAACAGTCAAAAAGAGATAATAAAAATAAGAATAAAAAACACTTCTAAAGAATAAATTTAAATTTAAAATAGAGTTACAGTTACTATTTACAATATACAAGTGCACATGGTGCACACAATGTAAGGTGACAGCAGTACAGTGAAGTAAAGTGACGTATGATGGGCAGTAAAGTGACTTTATAAAGGGCGGGGGGACAGGTTAAGAAGTGTTCAAGAGTCCAACAGCAGAGGGGAAGAAACTGTTCTTGTGGCGGGAGGTTCTAGTCCTGATGGACCGCAGCCTCCTGCCTGAGGGGAGTGGTTGGAATAGTCCATGTGCAGGTGAGAGGGGTCGGCTGTGATACAACCAGCCCGGCCTCGAGCTCGGGCGACGTACAGGTCCTGCAGCGATGGAAGGCTGCGGCCGATCACTTCCTCTGCAGAGCGCACAATGCGCTGTAGTCTCTGTTTGTCCCTGACTGTGGCTCCAGCGAACCACACGGTGATGGAGGAGGTGAGGATGGACTCGATGATGGCCGTGTAGAACTGCACCAACATCTGTGCAGGCAGCTTGGCTTTCCTGAGCTGCCGCAGGAAGTACATCCTCTGCTGGGCCTTCTTGATGAGGGAGCTGATGGTCGGCTCCCACTTGAGGTCCTGGGTGATGGTGGTGCCCAGGAAACGGAAGGACTCCACAGAGGTGATGGGGGAGTCCATCACGGAGGGTGGGGGCGGGGGGACAGTGCTCTTCCTGAAGTCCACAATCATCTCCACTGTCTTCTGGGCGTTCAGCTCCAGGTTGTTACCACTGCACCAGGACACCAGCCGGTCCACCTCCCTCCTGTAGGCGGACTCATCGTTGTTGGAGATGAGTCCAATGAGGGTGGTGTCGTCCGCGAACTTGATCAGCTTCACGGAGTCGTGGCTGGAGGTGCAGTGGTTGGTGTACAGGGAGAAGAGCAGGGGAGAAAGAACACAGCCCTGTGGGGCTCCTGTATTTATAATCCGAGAGTCCGAGACATTCTTCCCCAGACGCACTCGCTGCTTCCTGTCCGTCAGGAAGTCAATGATCCACCTGCAGGTGGAATCGGGCACGTTGAGCTGGGAGAGCTTGTCCTGGAGCAGGGATGGCAGGATTGTGTTGAAGGCAGAGCTGAAGTCCACGAACAGGACCCTGGCGTAGGTCCCCGGGGAGTCCAGGTGCTGTAGGATGTGGTGGAGGGCCAGGTTAATGGCGTCGTCTACAGATCTGTTGGCTCTGTAGGCGAACTGCAGGGGGTCCAGGAGGGGGGAGGTGAGGGACTTGAGATGGGAGAGAACCAGGCGTTCAAATGACTTCATGACGACAGACGTAAGTGCTACAGGTCTGTAGTCATTGAGTCCTGTGATCCTGGGCTTCTTCGGGACGGGGACAATGATGGAGGATTTGAAGCAGGCCGGGACATGGCAGGACTGCAGAGAGGAGTTGAAAATGTCCGTGAACACAGGAGTAAGCTCACTGGGGCAGTGTCTCAGAGTGGCCGGAGACACGTGGTCCGGGCCAGGAGCTTTGCGGGGGTGCAGCCTCAGGAAGAGTTGTTTAATCTCTTTAGCGGCTATTGTTAGGCTGGGGGCAGGGCTGATGGGTGGGTCGTTAGAGTAGTGGGGGGTGGGGGAGGGAGAGGTGTCAGGGGCAGCATCAAAGCGACTGAAAAATAAGTTCAGATCGTCAGCTAGCTTGTGGTCATCAGCACAGGGGGGGGCTTTGGGTTTGTAGTTGGTGATCTCCCGTAGGCCCCTCCAGACAGAAGCAGTATCGTTGTTACCAAACTGCTCCTGTAGTCGTTCTCTGTGCCGGGACTTGGCTGCTTTCAGTTCTTTCCTGAACTGATATTTAGCTGCTTTGTAGCCGCTGCGGTCCCCCTCCCTGAAAGCAGACTCCTTTGCTTTCCTGAGCTGCCGGAGTTTAGCAGTGAACCAGGGTTTGTCGTTGTTATAGATGACCCTGGTCCTTGTTGGAATGATGCTATCCTCACAGAAGTGGATGTATGACGTCACAGTGTCCGTATATTCATCCAAGCTATCTGTGGCAGCTCTGAAAAGGTCCCAGTCTGTAGATTCCATGCATGCAGCTCTTCCACAGCTTCATCAGACCACACTTTGGAGCTCCTCACTGCAGGTTTCGAGAGCTTTAGTCTCTGTCTGTAAGCAGGAACCAGATGTATCATGGAGTGATCTGAGAAGCCGAGGGCTGGCTTGGGAACAGCGCGAAAAGCTCCGCGCACGGTGGTGTAACAGTGATCCAGAGTGTTCTCCTCTCTGGTCGGGCATTTGATAAACTGTCTGTATTTGGGTAATTCCTGGCTCAAGTTTCCCTTATTAAAATCCCCCAGGATAATAATCAGAGAGTCCGGGTATAAACGTTCCATACACAGTACTTGCTCTGCGAGTGCGCGCTGAGCCTCGCGCGCGTCCGCGCATGGCGGTATGTAAACAGAGGCAAGAATGAATGAAACAATTTCGCGCGGGGAGTAATATGGTTTACAATGAATGAAAAGATATTCCAGAGCAGGAGAGCAGTGCTTGGAGATCACTGTCACATCGTTACACCAGTTTGTATTGACGTAGAAACAGAGCCCTCCGCCTCTGCTCTTCCCTGAGAGCGCACAATGGCGATCCGCGCGAAACAGCCCAAAGCCCTGCAGCTCCAGAGCGCAGTCCGGGATCCGCTCATTTAGCCAGGTCTCAGTGAAGCAGAGGACACAGGATGTGGCGAAGTCCTTGTTTCTTCTCATGAGCAGGCTGAGTTCGTCCATCTTATTGCCCAGTGAGCGTACGTTGGAGAGAAAAATGCCGGGGAGAGCCGTGCTCCTCTCCTCCTCAGACGCACGAGCCTCCTCGCTTTCCCCTTTTACGGGCCCACACTTTTTTGGCTAGAACATGAACTAAATCAGCCGCAGATGCCAAGAAAACAGGCAATAGGTCCATGGGAACGGTGGGTCGGATGTTCATAAGTTCCTCACGGGTGTAGGAACAGCCAGATGCACAGTTAAAAAGTAAAAACAAAAGAAAAAGAGAGCAGCAAAGAGCCATGTCGACCGTACGAGGCGCCATCTTGTAAAGATTTTATGAGAAACATCAGGAACCAGGATTATTGCTTATTGCTGATTTTGAAAAGGCATTTGACAAAGTTCAATGGAAGTTCATAAGACAATGTCTTGGTTTTTTTAATTTTGGAAAAAACTTAATCCAGTGGTTTGAAACGCTTTATAATCATCCGGTTAGTAGAGTGATTAATAATGGTCATATATCAGACACATTTTCATTAACACAAGGAGTCCGTCAAGGGTGTCCTTTGTCACCATATCTCTTTATTTTATGTATTGAAATTCTAGCTATTAAAATTAGGAACAATCCAGATATACCAGGTCTATTTCCAAACGGCCAAGAGACAATGTATGCTGATGATGCAACCTTTTTTATAAAACCAATACAATCCACTTTAGAAGGAATAATAAAGGAATTAAATAAGTTTTCAAAAATATCTGGATTGAAACCTAATTTTGCTAAATGTAGTATTTTGAGAATTGGGATGTTAAAAGACACTAATTTCATTTTAAACTGTTCTGCTCCTGTTAAATGGACTAACGGAGGAGTTGATACTTTGGGGATTCATTTACCTGATGACTTTAAAGAAGTTGTTAAATACAATTATGAGAGAAGGATGGAAAAGGTAGATAAAATTTTACAACCTTGGAGGGGAAACTTTCTGACAATTCAAGGGAAAGTAACGTTGATTAATACATTAGTAATCCCACAATTTGTCCACCTATTAATGCTTCTTCCTTCACCTAGCATTAAGTTCTTCAAACACTTTGAACAGAAAATTTTCAAATTCATATGGAATACTAAACCAGATAAAATTAAAAGGCAGTATCTATATAATTCCTATGATAATGGCGGACTGAATTAAAAAAATCTTCAAATGATGGACTGTTCCTTGAAGGCCTCCTGGGTTGCTAAAATGTATCATAATGAAAAGTGGATTACGACCCAGAGATTATATTCAGCCTTTTCCTTCTTCTCGAACAATATATTTCCTTTTTACCAATTAAAAACAATACATATTGATAAACTATTTCAAAATAGTTTAAAAGAGTTATCACCATTCTTCAAGGATGCATTGAAAGCTTGGTTGAATTTCCAGTATCATCCTCCAGATACAGCTCAAGATATTCAGACACAGTTGCTATGGATGAATTCAAACATTACTGTTGGAGACAAACCATTGTTGTGGGAGGAATGTGTTAAAAATGGGTTAATTTTTGTCAATGACCTTTTAGATTTATCTGGAGATTTGATTTCTTATGAAAATTTGAAAAGATCTTTTAACATTTCTCTTGATGAGCTACAATACAACCAGCTGATTTCTGCAATTCCTAAAACTTGGAAAAGAAAATTGCAAAATTGTAGGAAGAATAAGTTGATGGTTTGTCTCCCAATAATAAGATGCCCAAAATGGCTGTCTGGTGCCAAAATAAATAAAATAATATATATGTGGAATGTAAATATCACAGGCACCGCACTTTTCCCACACAGAATCTGCCTGTTTTGGGAAGATGAATTCAATGATCCAATTTTGTGGAAAGATTACTTCAGAACAATTTATAGAATATAATAATATAATAATAATAATAATATATATATATATATATTCCAGGATATTTCAACTTAAAATCTTTTATAAAATTATTGCAACAAAAAAATCTCTGGTCAAATGGCAGATAGAAAAGGATCCCTGTTGCAGGTTCTGTGGGGATGAGGAGGAGGACCTGATGCATTTGTTTTATTTTTGTCCACATGTGGCTAAGTTTTGGGTCAGTGTACAGTTATGGTTAAGGTCTATGGGTATTGCTTTGCAAATTACACCTCAGAATATTGTGTTATGTATTTTTGAGGGTAAATGCACATACCTTTTGAATATGATTATTCTGATGGGTAAAATGTTTATTTTTAAAGCTAAAAATGTATCAAATTTATGTATAAAACATTTTAAGAATAGAGTTTATCATCAGTATATGTTAGAAACAATTATAGCAACAAATAACAACAGAATAATTGAGCATGAAAAGAAATGGAATGTCTGCTTACCTGAGTTAGAGATATAAATATTAGGTGTACTTGCTATGCCATTTGTTATGTCGTAAATGTTTTGCTAATTATATTGTATTTTGTTTATGGATTTTGATTGGTATTAGTGATTTTATTTTATTTCTCATTTTCTATGTTATTATTTTCTTTTGCTTTGTGCTTCTTTTTTGTCTATAGTCTGTGTTCAAAATACTGAGAATGTGTGGATGATTGTGGTTGTGATTGTGGTATGAATGCAAGGGGGGTGGCTGGGTTTGGGTTTGGGTGGGGGGTTTTTAAGTTTGTCTCGTTATTTTATCTTGTAAATAAAAAGAAGAAAAAAGGAGAAAAAAAAAAAAAAAAAAAAAAGAATATAAATAAATTAAAGCCGCAAGCGGCGTCAAACGGCCCTCGCCGCACCGCGCGACTCCCCGCACCGCGCACACCACCCCGTGCCACGCCGTCCCGCACCAAGCCGCAACGCGCCGCACCACACCGTACCACGCAGCACCGCGCATAGGAGGTGGCGCCGCCGTGTGATGATTTGTTCCCGTAGCCATGGAAGAACTTAGTCAAATTGTAATGAATATGATAAGTAGAGCTGGTTTGGCTCCCAATGTAAACTTTGAATCAGTCTGTAGGGGGCGCTAATGGGCCAATTTCAAATATTTCACTTTCACCTGACCTAAACCCTGGAGTTGAACAATGGATTCAAGTTTCAAGCAACGTTTCACTGATAAAAATTCCCTGAAGTCATTTTGAAGGTAAACGTGTTGAGATGATTTGGAACAATTTTGAGGCCAATCGGTGAAACGGCCGAGGAGGAGTCGCTTTCCAACCGACATGTATGAAAATGATTGCGGATCATTTTTCCATTTTGCAGTGAAATTTATGGGCCTCCTGTTTGTCAGAGGGCGGAGCCATGATAACATTTCGGTCGTATCTTGACTTGAGGAACATGTGTACCAAATTTCATGGCTCTACGACAAACTTGACCTCTGAAACTCCCATTGGCTGTTGTAGGTGGCGCTGTTCTGGCATTTTTTGAGTCCCATAAAAATAAACACCCAAATATCAAATTTTTCACCAGGTCTGATGTTTGGTCAAAATTTGACAACTTTTCATGCATGTTCAGGGGGTGAAATTAAGGCTCAAAGTGCAGAATTTGACATCTCTCGAGCAAAAACAATAGGCCCTTTCCCCGTTCGGGGCTCGGGCCTAAAAAAGGTCAGTTTCATAAATCACAGGAAATAAACTGATAAATATAATAATAATGTATTAATTATTAATATAATATTCTCACAAGAGTCACCAGGAGCTACTTCATTGAGAAACGTCGTCATGCTAAAGCCTAGTGTATACTTGTGCGGCTTACGTTAGCGGTTGCGGTGGACCAAGCACATTTGTGTTTATATTCCTTGCAGAGTTTTGAGGATAATGTTGTAATCCCACAACCAACCACACGATGGCGATCTCACAGGAGTTTAGAAACCAAAGCGGTCTCATTTACGCTTCTTCTTTCTCCTCTTCAGAACAAAAACATGTGTTTCTACTGTAGGTTTATGTGACCGTTCTAAACTCATCGTTTCAACTCATTTAACTGTGATGCTGTGAATAAACACACAGTTCTGTTGGAAACATAATTATTATTATATATTATATATATTATTACTATATTACAGTTATTATTATTATATATTATATATATTATTATTACTATATTACAGTTATTATTAAAGTGTTTTCAGCACAAACAGCAAAACAATAAAAGTGGTAAATATCTGAGACAAACATGAACGATTTATAAGTGCAGGAGGAATGGAACAGACGCGATAATCTACGATTCAAACAAGACAGGAACAGTTCAAAACAAACGACTGCACAGTTTATAAGTTAGATATAAGTTAGATATAAGTTAGATATAAGTTAGATATATGTTAGATATATGTTAGATATAAGTAAGTAAGTAAGTAATCTTTATTTGTATAGCACCT